AAAAAAAAAAAAAAATAGGTACTTGTATTATTTTTTAAACAAAAACATAAAGATAAATGTTATAGAACTCTTCCTAGACCCTATCAATTGACATCCCTACATTTAATACATATTAAAATATCATGTTGAAAATACTATTTTCATTTAATTATTTAAATAAGAAAAATTAGTTGATAAGAACATTCACCAACCCATCACTTTGTCCTGAATTTTCAATTTGTCATGTATCAATAAAGACCTGTTTGGTTTGAGACAACGTGAATAGTTTTTTCCTTTCGAAATTTTTAAGATTAGCAAGACATCCCATGTTTTTTTAAAGCGTGAATCTAAATGCAAAGTTAATGACATCATTACATCCATGCATTTGAAATATGTTCTCTATACATGACAACGCCATGCCGTGGTTGAGCAAGCTTCCCAGCAATTTGTAGGATTAAATACAGTAGTGCAATACAACTCTACGATTGTTCAAATGGCTGGCTTCTACTCTAATTAGTTGGCTCTTCTACTCTTAATGATAATTGCTAGCATGAATATGCCGTTGGAACAATTATTGACACTTACCTAATTGACCTTGCAAGGTGCAAAAAAATTGGCTTTTTCTAGCTTAGAAGTATTTGCATCTTTGATCATCTTATATGCGTCATTTTTAAAAGCAATTATCATCAAATGAATTATATGGATGTCTTGAAGTGTTGGGTTTAGCTAGTTTCCGAGTTTTCATATATTTTTTTTCTTCATGATATGTAAAGCAAGAAGAGATCACAACTGTTTATTTGTTCAAAACTTTTAACCTCCCCGAATATTTTAGATTTTTAACTATTGGTTATTTGAAGTTTGATGTTTTCTGTTTGCAGGACCAACAAATGCAACAAGTCTTCAACCAAGGGATTAATAAAGCCAATGCATTGAGCAACAGTATGTATTTTGTGGTAGTCAAAGCCTCAAGTTATGGATAAAAGCTTGAGCATTAATAAAGGATTATTAATCTAAGCCGACAGGTCTGAGTTTCTTTTATAAAAGGCTACTTGAGTTACTTAGCTATGTTATTCATTTATTATTTAGACATTAAAATTTAGAATGCAAAATACCAATTCAAAATAACTGACTCAACTAAATGTATTAAGGTCCAAGCCTTTGAAAGGAACCATTAATCAATACATTTCCTAAAGTCCAGAGTCGGGCCAAATTTTTGTATAGGAAAAAAGAAAAGGTCATGTTGAAGTTAATGCTTTACATAAGTGGCAAAGGTTTAATCAGGTAGCTTATTTCCACCACTAGCAAGAAATAAATTTTATAGAATCAAGGCCTCAAGCCCTCAACCAACCCGCCAACATATATAAAAAAAATAAAAATAAAAGGCTTGATATAATGATTCCATCATCAAAGGGCAACTGACAACATTTATAACGAAAAAGAGCAAGATTACAACCAGCATTCCTATTCCGCAAATTCAAGGGGATGACAAAATTTACTAATGCTCAATAAGTTTCACGAAGTCACAAATACAGCCAAATAACAGAAGGAAGAGCTGCTTAACTATAGATAAACAGTACTCTCTTTTATAACCAACAAAATGAAGCCTGACTGTTTCAACATATATTTTACCATCATCTGATAGTGATACAACCACACACTCTCAATTTCTAGTGTATAAAATACTAACATCCCTAAACTATGAATTAGGTATATCAAATTGAAAATAATTTCAAGTATATAAAACGGGAAAGGAAAAGGGAAACAAAAAAACGGAGACTCACTTGGAAGCATCCATTCTTCCATACTATTTCTAGGTTCTAGCAGGAAATTTTAATTGATTAAAAGCACTGGAATTGCTGCAGAAAATTTACCTGGAACAAATTGGGGAGAACATTTTTTCTGGTCTAGATGCACATTCAACGTATCTGAGAAGGCGAACATAACAATCCAGAAGCATCTGCCCCAACCGTGGCAAGATCACACACAGAACATAGCTGTCCCTCTTGACTTGGCACAAAACGAGAAGTGCAGTAAGGGCAAGAGACATCCTTTTGTCCTCGATAAATGGGCACATAAGTTGCACCACAAACGACAAATGGGTTTCTGAAATCATAGTTCAACTGTGTGGCATCAGTCATATTCCTTTCTGCAGCAGCAAGCACTTGTCTTGCTGTCTTGGCTTGGGTTTCAACAGTAGGATTAGTCTCAAGTAGCCTCCTGGCAAAGTTAGCAGCCGAGGCAAGGTTTTTTGCCTTGTAGCAGACAGTCATTGCATTCAACAAAGCTAGCCTCAAATGTGGGGTTTGAAGGTTGCAGTGAGTGAAGTATGCTGCAAGCTCCTGCTGCCGAACTAGATTGTCCTTCATTTCTCTTCTCTTCAACTCCATCTGCAGACCCAAAACATACTCTTTGACTACGATAATCAATTCCTTCACCTCATCCACTTCTCTCCTTGACTCAACTACAATCAAGGGAATAGCATGAAGAATACTGATGAATGCCCTAAGAGCCTCGGTAAATTTCCCAGAAGTTGTTGACTTATAACCAGCTCTGAGCCTTTCATCCAATTGAGAAAGTCTGACAGGCAATGCTGGCAGGCCTCTTACATTTGCACTTGATGACTCAGTCCAACCTCTTTCAATGGCAAAAGATATCACCGGAGCAGATGAAAATGCACGCAGATAGGAATGGCTGCCAGTATTAAGATCAAGAAACGTGGGTCTCAAGGGTGCAAAGTTTGTTATCCCTAGTTGACGGTTCAGTAACCGCATTGCAGTATCAAAGTTGCCAGCAGCTGCATGATCTGCCGCGAGAGATGATTTCTGAATCCATATCTGACTTACAGGCATACCAGGGGTTGGGGCCACGAAAACAGATCTTGTACCAACTGAAGCTTTTGGGGTGTCAGCTTCAGGGGGCAGTTCTAAATCTTCCAACTCCCATCCACCCTCTTCACTTTCATCTGCCACTTCCCCATCCTCCAAAATTGCAGCAACTTCCCCATTTTGTAAGTCATCCACCTCAACCATGTCAAGCTCCTCACCCCAATCAGCATCAGCTGCCTCATATTCTTCATCAGTAACACCCTGTTTCATGCTGTCAAGCCCGCCATCAAATATGCCTCGCATGACCCTAAGAAGGGGCCAATCACCAGCACACGTGAGAGGTGAAGGTGGCATTAAAAGAGATGGTACTTTTCCCCCAGGCAAAGATGGAATGTTGTCCCCAAGTTCAGCTGCAAGCCGTTCAGCAACATCATGAAGCCCATGGACTGATGCAGTGATGTAAGCCAGAGGCAAATGACCCGCATTCTCCAAGATTTTAACCCGTTGTCGGACATCACCCATATATAAGGCATTGTGAAACTGGCCCATCACATCATTCTTTACTTCAGCAATTTTCAGCATTTTAGAAAGTTTCTCCGTGTTACCCGTGATGAGATATAGGAAAGACAATCTCTCGAAATTTTTTGTCCTCTGATACGCATACTCCACTATCCCAGTATTACCCTGACGAAGAGCCTCAACCCCTAAACGATACCAGTAATCTTTCTCATCAATTGCTGAAGCTGATGCAACAGCAATTTGAATGTTCCCACTCTCTAAAGCCAAATTGAATCGAATTCTCTCATCATTCACAAAATGGAGGGCAACCTCAGGAAAGCCTTTTTGCCGGAGATAAGCAATCACAGCCTGCCCACAAAGCTGCGAAGTCTTTATCATGTTCATAACATGGTCATATTTTTTCTTCCACAGGGAAAGTTTAAAAATATATTCAGTGGCATCAACAACTATGGTTCTTTTCTTCCCATCCCGATCCAAGCAGAAGATGGTGTTTCCAGAAACCTTAGTGATGTAAATAGGGACATCCAGTGTCTTTATTATCCCACCATCTCCATTAGGAAGGCAGTATTTGATGTGATTTAATGTCGTGTAGATAAAAACACTGTTGTCATCCCAGGCTCCGCTTTTCACACGAATGGTCTCATGGAGAGTGC